CAAAACTAAGGGCTCATCTGCCTAGGAATAATCTCATTATAGTCAATGAACAGATTCACCATTAGCTTTTCTTGCCCTTTAATCCTATTATAGCGTCTATTTGTATTTCAATTTTTGACCTTTGGATTTTGAAAAATCAGTATTTCTTACAAAATTTAATATTATGGTCTAAATATGACAAAAACATCTAATTATGTTGAATTCTTAAATAATCTTTCATGGGTCAGCAAAAATGCCATGGTCTTGTAATTCTTAGTTTTGATGTAAATGTCCCTGAAGAGAGTATAGGACAGTGTGCTGCACAGTGTACCCTTAGCACACTAGGGGCTAGCAAGTCATCGAGTCATCATCTTCCTCTGTTCATAGCCTTCTGGTTTCTCACTTTCCTTAGAGACAGAGAGTGCCTTCAAAGGCTGTGGCCTTGAATCCAGGGTGCTTAAGGGCATTTCCAGAGAACAAATCCCTGACCTTGGCCTCATTTATCATTAGTTCTCCTAAACTAAAATTATCAGTTACATATACAAAGGAGTTCCTTTGGTTCCCAGTGAGCCAGTGTGACCTCTGAAATATGATACCTGCTTTACCTCATTGTCAGGGTTCCTGCTGGGATTGCAGACAGTCATGTAATTTTCAGATGTGGAGTCAAAACAGTGAGAGCCTGGAGAGGTAGCTCAATGGTTAAGAGCACTGACTGCTCTTGCAGAGGACCCGGGTTCAATTCCCAGCACCCACATGGCAGCTATGAACCGTCTTTAACTCCAGTTCCAGGGGAATCTGAAGCCCTCTTCTGACCTCCACAGCATTGTGCAATGCACTCACATACATTCAGGCAATACAGTCATACACATAAAATAAAAAAAATAAAATATTTAAAAGAAAAAGAAAATCAGAGAGAAGCCAGGGGACCAGTGTCATTGTTCTCTGTGAGGCCAGCTGAGGTCGCCAGAGCACAGGTTGCGCAGGCCTAGGAATGCGTGTGCGCATACGTTTCCGCAGACGCATGCGCGCTGGCTCCCGCGTGCACGGGGGCGCCAGCAGGGGCGGGGACGCGCAGTGCGTTTGGCCGGGGGCGGAGCGGGGGCCTGGGCAGTCTGCCGGGTGGAAGCCCTCAGCGGGCTTCACGTAACAGAGGCGCCGCGCACTGCTGACTCCGCCGCGTAGTGCTGACTCTGCCGCCCACCGCTGAGCCATGGAAATCGGCACCGAGATCAGCCGCAAGATCCGGGTGAGGCCAGCGTTGGCGGGCGCCAGGCAGGGGTTCTGGGCCTGGCGGGCAGGCGGTTGCCAGGAGTAACGGGGCGGGTAGGCCCAGCCGCCTCTGTCCGGCGCAGACGCGGCGGGGCGGCGAGGCGGCGGCTCCACGGGCCGTGGCCGGGGCTCCGGGGACGCGTGCGGGCCCTCGGGAGCCACTCTGAGCGGCGCGGTCGGGCGCCAGGCGTCGACCGCAGAAGGCGGCGCCGCGCGGTGGTCGGGCTCCCCTCCCCCCACGGCGGGGCCCCGCGGCGGGGGTGCTGCCCACTGTCGTGGAGTTCACCTGCACCTTTGCTTTTCTTTCTTTTCCTCAGAGTGCCATTAAGGGGAAATTGCAAGAATTAGGAGCTTATGTCGGTAAGTTTCTTCTTCGCCTGCATAGAATGTGGCGGTGGTGGCCAACCCATGTGTCCGAGTGCCTTTGCGCATCCTACCTGGGATACCTTCTTGAAGTCTGACACTCCTTGGTTACCTCATTTCACTGAACAAGCTGTAGCACCCATGCCTTTTTTTCCCATCCCCTTTTTAAAACGTTATTTTGAAATAGACTAGCTTCTTCCTCCTTGTTCAGGTTTTCCTGTTGTTGCTTTCCACATGACCTTTATTTTCAGATCCATCATTTGGTTATGAAGGATGCTTCTGGCATTGGCCACGTGATGGTTCAGTGAGTTTTATCCTTTAGACCTTTTTTTTGTTCTACCTCCTCACCCCTCAAAATGGTAAGGCGTTTACTTTGCACCCTCTTTTCTTAGAACAAGTGTTTTTTCTGGGCCAAGTACTGTCTAGATAGTACATCTGTAAATTAAAAATCTCCATAGAAAGGTAAGTCGTGGTACCCCAGTTGTGTGCACAGAGAAACTGAGGCTTTGTGTGCTTGAACAAGATGTTGTGGGTAGAGGCCTGAATCTGACTGCAGAGCTGATGAAAATCATAGATAGCTCCACATAAGGAAGCAGTACCCAAAGTGTGTGAGATCCATAAGGATCTCTGAAGTGAGTCAAATTGTTTTCCTGTTAGTTCGAAGACTTGACATTTCAGTGTGTTTACATTTGGATTATAGGTCAGCAGTGGCTGGAAAACTGAAGCAAACAATACAGTCACACCAGATTTTACTAGAAACCATATTCAGGTCATTTCTTCTAATTCCAAAGAAGAACCAGTTCCACTTAGAAGTTAGATGAAGCAAGTTAATTTTTAATTTTTATTTTTGAGACAGGGTCTCCTCACTGAATAGCTGGCTGGCCTTGAATTCACACAGAGCCTTCTGCCTCCCAAGTGCTGGAATTAAAGGTGTGCTCCACCCTGCCTGGCAGGTGGTTTGGTTTGGTTTGGTTTGGTTTAGTCTTTTGAGACACGGTCTCCCCTCTAGCCCCAGCTGGCCTGGAACTCACTATGTAGACCAGGCTGGCCTTGAACTCACAGAGATCCACTTGCCTCTGCCTCCTAAGTGCTGGGATTAAAGGCATGGGATTAACTGCCGTGCTTGGCAGTTTTGTTTTTTAAACTGGCTTCTCACTGCATCTTTTTAATATTCTGTTTGTAAGGACATAGAGATGCTTACCAAACTGAGGTGTACAGAACTGTTAATGATTGTGTTAAGAAAAGGCATTTGTTACTGAGAACTAAACTCACCACCTTTTTTGTGAAACTTTTTTAACTTCTAAGAAGTGATATACTGATTATGTGTACTTGGGTATTAGGCAGGCAGGAAAAAGTCGGATAGTTTTTATTGTCAAAGATGTTGAACTTTCAAGTGAAAATTAAAATTTTGAAGGTTTGGGTTTATCTCTGAACTTGATAGCTTCCCAGAACTGAAAGAATTTACGGTGAAATTATGGAGGTACTAAACATTATGACTTTTTTTTTCCCCACTTTTTTTAATTGGTTTTTTTTTTGTGCATTTCATACAATATAAATCATATTTAGACTCTTCCCTCCCCTCCCCTACCTGCACCCCCCCCAGCCCATCCACAGGATTTCATGCATTCTGTCATATATATTAAGGCCTATCAAGTCAAGTTTGTGTACCCGTATGTCCTTCTGTGTGAGTTTATCCTGTTCAACCTGTCTAGCATCACTCCCTTAAATAACAACATTCCCTCATCTAACACTGTTCAGCTGCTAGTAGTTCTTGGCTAAGATTGGGGCCTCTTGCCCATTTACCCAGTTCTGTGCCATATTTTTGTCTGATTGAGTTTGCATGGGTCTTGTACATTCTGTCATCATTGCTGTAAGTTCATATGAGGAAGTTCCCAGGAGCCTGTAAGACTGTTTCCTTATGGTCATGCATCTCCTTCTCTGTCTTTTAACGATCCCCCTCTTCTGCAATGGTCCCCAAGCCATGGGTAGGTGAGGTTTAATACAGGAATCTTACCTGGGGACACACACTTTGCAGTTGCTTATTCTCTATACTTTGGCCAGTTGTGGCCTTCTGTGTTCATCACCCTCTTTTGCATGAGGAAGCTTCACTGGTAAGAGTTTAGAGATGCATTGGTATTCTCTCTTATCTAATGTTCCACTATGTTCCAGGAGCCTTAGGTATAGAGTTTCCTATTGTAGATGTGTCACTTAGGACTGACTGGGCTTCTCACAGACACTCTCTTCGTGTGACTAGTTGTAGAACTCTATAATGGTCTCTATCCGTTGCAAAAAGAAGTTTCTTTGATGAGTGGTGACTAGCATACTTATCTGTAAATATATTTAGCATAAAAGAAGAAATTACATTTGTCTAGGAATGTGACAGATGCAAAGTTTTTTCCTAAGATCTGTGGCCTCTCCAGGCATGTTTATTTGGCCACATGAGTTCCCTCCCATTGAGGGGGCTTAAGTCCAATTAGATAGCTGTTGATTAACCCCAAGATAAAAGTGCCACTACTACATTGATACAGTTTCCTGTGCCAGTCATTGTTGTGGTTCTTAGGCTTTAAAGCTGGGGTTGGACCATTGATTTTTCTCCCTTAGCAAGCAGCTTGCATAGTATCCTCTAGAACTGAGAGCTAGTCTTCAGGGGGGAGGCTTCCAGGTCAGTTCCAGCTCTATTGCTCCAAGTCCTGTGTCTGAAGTATGTCCTGTCTTCAGCAATAGGATCTTACCTTTAAGTTTTGGGAGGTAATCAAAGGCAATAACCTGTGTTATTTTGGGAATCTGTTGGACTACCCTGACCAACAACTTGAAGAGAGGTTTCTACCGGCTAGCACTGTGTTTCTTGTTATATAGCCTTCAGCTTTACACATGCACTCAGGTACAGGTATTGTATATGTGTATATTTGTTTTGTTTTGTTTTGATGTTTTTGAAACAGGGTCTCCCTATAGCCCCACCTAGGGTGGAACTCACTGTGTAGACCAGACTGACCTTGAACTCACAGAGAGCCGCCTGCCTTTGCCTCTCAAGTACTGGGATTAAAGGAGTGAGCCACCATGCCCAGCCTTAGTAGTCTTTTGAACTAACACATTTCCCTCTGGCTTTTCGCACCATGTAAACAGTATTTATCTCTCATCTCTGCGAGTCTAAACCTCCCTCTTCCCTCCCCAGTTAAAATACCCCCATTTTTCCTGTTTTCCCCCTTGATAATACCTGTTTCCTATCCCCCCCCCCCAGCTCCTTCTTCCTCTTTACCCCGTGGTTCCTTCTATATCCTTTCCTCCTCTTCCCAGTTAAATGCCCCCATTTTTCCCCTTGGTAACATCTGTTTTTTACTATCTCCCTCTCTTGGGCTCTTGCTTTCTCTTTACTTTCATGATTCACTTCCATTTGCCTGGCTCCTGTGGTTACATCTGGATATAGATTCACATTTAAGGATTTAGTACTAAGTTCCACAAATGAGAGAGTACATGTTTCACTTGTTTTCTGAGTCTGTGTTACTTTACTTAGCATAGCAGTTTCTCATACTGACCATTTGCCTGTGAATTTCTTTTTTGTGTGATGAAATTATGGAGGTACCAAACAGTGTGACTTTTTAAAAAAAATTTATGTGTGTGTCTTACCTGCATATATGTAAGGGTACCCATGCATGCATTGCCTACAGAGGAACTCCCTGGAACTGGAGTTTATGGACAGTTGTTAGCTGCCATGTGGGTGCTGGAAACTAAACCCAGGACCTCTGCAAGAGCAGTCGGTGCTCTTAACTCCTGAGCCATATTTCCAGCCCCCTAATTTCTTAAGCTTAAAAAGAGTCCAGGGACTCTTTAAAGTTATGGAAGCAAATCTTCAATAAATTTTTGAATATTTAATTTCTAAAGTATTGGGTGGGTCATAAAGAAGAGCAGCCCCCCTCTTTTTTTAAAGGAGGTCGCATTTTTAAAGGAGGAGCATTTTAGTGATATGGCAATTATAATTCCATTTTTCTCTCACATTTCAGAGATAAGAGCATCTCAGACCTTCACAGTTTTCACTGTTTGTTTTCTCTTCCCAGTTTGCTGATTTGAAATATATTTCATAAGTCTGTCTGGACTCTGGAAGAATATTTCATGACTACATACATACTAACTTTTTTTTTTTTTCTTTTTTTGGTCTTTTTGAAGCAGGGTCTCCCTGTAAGCCCCAGCTGTCCTAGAACTCACTATGTAGACCATGCTGGCCTTGAACTCACAGAGATCCGCCTGCCTCTGCCTCTGCCTCTGCCTCCCAAGTGCTGGGACTACAGGTAGACGCCACCACGCCTGGCTCATACATACTAATTTTTATTAGATTATTTTTTTCCTAAGGAAAAAAATTAATGTGTATGAGTGTTTTACCTGCATGTGTATAACTGCACCTGTGTCATGTAATGCCTGCAGAGGCCAGAAGATGATATCACATCCCCTGGAACTGGAGGTACACATGGGTGTTAGTCTCCACATGGGTTCTGGGAACCAAACCTAGGTCTTCTCCAAGAGCAGCCAGTGCTCTGAATCACTGAGCCATCTCTCCAGACCCTCATTAGATTCTTAATTTTCATACTATTGTGTGTTCAGAAACAACATGTGAATTCTAAACACTCTGCCGATAAATAATTAGCATACCTTAATTGGATATATTTAAAGTGTATTGTTCAGAACGTCTTAATATGTATAGGCTCAAAACCTTCACCACAATCAGAATGATAAACTTGGTAGGCTGGGTCTATCATAGGTAAACTGTTTGCCTAGCACCATGGGTAAGGATCTGGGTTTCATTCTTAGCACTATTCAAAAAGAGAAAAGAGCCAGGTAAGCCTTTAATCCTGGCACTCATAAGAGAGGCAGGCAGAACTCTGTGAGATCAAGGCCAGTCTGGTCTACGTAGGGAGTTCCTTGCCAGCCAGGGTTATAGGGAGACCCCCTGTTTCAGAGAGAGAGCAAACACATACTAGTACTAGTAGTTACTTTGGCTTTGTGACTTTTGTCAAACCATTCCTTGCCCCCCACCCCCTGTATCTAGGCAGCCATTAATCTCATAAAATTTTAGTAAATGTAAACTGATACAGTGACATCACTCATGTCATATTGTTATTATGAAAGAAAAACAGTATCAAGTCCAAGTATTCCAGCAGTTTTTGTCTGAGTTACAGTGGCAGCTCTTATTTACTATAATTATTTACAGTGATTGCAAAGGGAGCTTTTTGCTACTTTACCCAAAATGGGAAGGGGAGAACTGGCCATTTGTATTTATAATTTCTCCTATATGGAATGCGGTTTTGATATTTGTCTTTGAAATAAATATCTGGCAGATGTACCTTTCTGTCTATGGAGTTATAAGTATTTTAATTACTAAAGACATTTTATGTGTTTGAAGCTGGCTGTAATAGTATACACCAGTAATGCCAGTATTTGGAAGGAAAAGGGATGAAGGCTGTCATGAGTTTTAGGCCCCTTTGGACCCTTTTTCAAAAGTAATCTTTGCCTGGGTATGATGGTGCACACCTTCAGTCCCAGCACTTGGAGGCAGAGGCAGGCTGGCCAACCTGGTCTGTGTAGAGAGTTCCATTGCCAGTTGGGGACATAGGGAGACACTGTCTCAAAAACAAAGTAGTTTTGGGTGGGGGAAGGGGAAGTTGGATTTCTTCATAATGATTTGGTGTCCTTATTGAAGTGCTTTTTTGCTTTTTAAGTTTTTTCTTTGTCCTAAACCTTTATCACTGTGTATGTAGGGTTACATTGTGAGGTGTATGTGTGTTTTGTCTGCATGTGTGTAAGTGCACCTGTGTTGTGCAGTATCTGAGGAGGGCAGAAAAGGGCATTGGATCCCCTGAACTGGAGTTACGGATGGTTGTTTGCTGCCATGTGGTGCTGGGATTTGAACTTGGGTCTTCTGAAAGAACAGTTAGTGCTCTTAACTGCTGAGCCATTTCTCCAGCCCCCTGTCATTGAACTTTTTTTCCTTAGGTATTGTTGAACTCATGGTATTGCACATGCTAAGCAAGTAGTCTACAACTGAGCCATACCTTCAGCCCCTAGTTAATCTGAAGATTGACATTCTTAAGTTACATGGTATTTGGAGTAATTTGAGTTTATTTGATATTTGAAGCTTATTGAAGTAATTGAAGCCTGCCTTCAATTTTATAGTTTAGTGTGGTAAAAGCATATTCTCTTGAAATGAGTATTATCTTGAAACATGAGCAGAAAGCTAAACAAAATGCAATTATTGTTGGGACTGTATATTTTCTAGAAGTATCCTAAGCTAATGACCATTATTGAAAAGATTTAAAGAAGTGAATGCATTCTCAAATTGATTCTATAACCTGTGATGCCCAGTTTTATGACTAGAAATGCATCTTTTATTCCTAAACCTTATCCTTCTAATGAAGTGTTCATGGGATGAAGTGGAAACATGGAAGCTGAGCTTTGTTATCCAACTTGATTGTAGTAGCGTGAGATACTGATTCAAAAGGCTACATCTGTGTTTTCAGGCACATCAGTTTTAAGCAAAATGAAGTATTGAGGAAAACATTAAATTTTTTTGATATACTTTTCCTTTTAAATAGATGAAGAACTTCCTGATTACATTATGGTGATGGTGGCCAACAAGAAAAGTCAGGACCAAATGACAGAGGACCTGTCCCTGTTTCTAGGGAACAACACAATTCGATTCACCGTATGGTATGTTTCTGAATATCTATGCCTCAAACCAAAGTTGGCAGAAGTAGAGTTGATATTCTATCTCAAAAAGAGGTTTTTGACAGTCTTGTTAGTTTCATTGTGGACAGGCAGTTTATACGCCATGAAGCACAAGCTTCTAGAGGTTTCTCCATCTGTAAAATGGGAATAGAAGATCACCTGTTTAATGGAATTGTGAGGATTAAATTAGCAAATACATGGAGAGTGCTTGCACGTGTGCCTAGAATTCATAGGAATCCTCGATGTGTGTTAGCTGAAGTTGTCTCTTTGCCAGCATCTACATTCTGTCATTCCTTCCCCCATTAAATCCAGCTGCAAATAGTAAACAACAGATTCTGGACTAGGCTAGCTCTTTATATTGCTTTTTCCAGTGAATTACTTTTTATGGGGCAAAGTTTTCTTTTGTTTTTGCCTTTTGTGTTTAAGCTTTTTTTTTCCTCTCTTTAATGCATGCATGTTCTCATTTGACAAAAATACATCATCTTTACACTTTGGATTTTTAAAATATGCAATTTTCTTTTTTAATACACATTATCCTTATAATTTGGACTGTGTTACCAGACCACATATGCTTTTAGTTGAAAATAATGTTTAGAAGCATAAGATTGAGTCTGAGAAGGCAAGGTGCTGTTGTTAGCAAGTTTAAGGTGAAGTTGAGGAGGAAGGATAGTGATCCAGCTCAGGACAGGAGGGAATGCTCATGGCTCATGACAGGCCCATGGCTGAAGACCCACCAGCCAGAGTGAGAGTCGATGGAGCAAAGCAGGATATGTACTTGGCCTACTTAGTTTCAGTAGCATGTAGGAGATTTTGAAGAAAAGATTGTTCCCACACTGTTTTGGGCCATTTATGCTCTTATGAAACTAAATTTGGAGTTCTGTGTAGCATATTCCGGGTTTATATTGTGCAATTTTGGAGAACATTGTTAAGAATACAATGGCCCTCACGTATTAACAGATAAACATACCTCTTCAGTATGGCTAGATAGGTTGTGCTCCCCCCACCCTTCATGGTCATGGTGTTTTGACTGAGGACATATACTATAATTACGACTCCTTTTTTAAAAAGTCTTTAGTAGTCAAGCGTATTTATTTTGTTTCATGGGCATTTGTTATGATTTTTCCTTTGATTTAACCTTTAGATTACTTTGGGTTTGCAGCCCACTAATCTAAGATAGGAGATTGATCTAGTAAATCTTTTAAAAGATAACTTGATGGACTACTTAAAAACAGATTTCAAGCTGGGCATGGTGGTGCACGCCTTTAATCCCAGTATTTGAGAGACAGAGGCAGGCAGATCATTGTGAGTTCAAGGCTAACATGGTCTACATAGTGAGTTCCAGGTCAGTTGGGGCTACAGGTCTTAAAAAGACCGAAAAGTAAATAAGTAAATAAATAAATAAATAAAGTCAGACTTCATAAGTTGATGTACTGAATCTAAACTTAAATTCACTTTTGTCATCTTGTTGCAAAATGGATTCTTGTAATGTTCTGATGTGAGGAATTGTTATTATTTTGGCATTTTGCTTTCAGTATTCATTAACACTAATGCTGAACAGACTTCTGATTTTTTAAAATCTGGAGAGAGAGAGACAGAGAGAGAGAGAGAGAGAGAGAGAGAGAGAGAGAGAGAGAATTGAATGTGTGCATGTTTGCGTGTGTGAGGGTGCATGTGTACGTGTATATAGGGCCTGAAGTTGGCATTTAGTGTCTAGCTGGAGCCCTCTCTTTATTTGAGAGAGCCTCACTGGACCTCGAGCGCTGCAAGTTCTCCTATAGTTAAGCAGCTGCCCCCGTGATCCCTCTCTCTTGCCTCCTAAGTGCCGATACTCCAAGTGGCCACCATGGGACCTGGCATGCTTTTCCATGAATTCTGGGAATCAGAACTCTGCTGTCACATCTGAAGTCTGGTACTCAAGCTTGTGTGGCAAGTGGTTTAACTGCTGAGCTGACTTCCCAGTGCTATCCTGATTTGTTTTGACAGCCACTTTTACAACTTTACATTCAAGTTTTTGTAGTTGTATTTTTTTTATTTTGTATACCACATGCGTGCAAACCCTTGGAGTCCAGAAGATCGCATCAGGTCCTCTGGACTGGAGTTATGGATGGTTTTTAGGCGCCATGTGTGTGCTGGGAACCAGATCTGGGTCTTCTGCAAGAGCAGCAAGTGCTCTTACCTACTTAGCTGTCTCCCCAGCTCTTGTTTTGTTTTTCTGTCCTGATTTTTTGAAACCCTGAAATCATTGTGTCCATGGGGAAACTGGCATGTGAGTTGAGTTGTAAATGAAATGCTTGAGATTTTTGGTGTTTGTGGGGATGCTTTTGGAAGTCCTGCAGGGCAAATTTGCCTTCTACATAACCAAATAGGTTATATTATGAGAAAGTTTGTAGCCTTTACTTGATTTTGAAAGTAATAGTTACAATGAAATGGTATAGTGTATTTTTAAATTCTTAACTTTTTCCACCTCAGATTTAAGTTGTCCAAGAAACCATATAAATAATTAAAATAAGTATCAACAGCTGGACTGGGGTATAGTTCAGGGGTAGAATCCGTGCTTCTCATATAGGCCACCAACATTGAGCAGTGGGAGTGGGGGAGGGAGAAAATGAAAGAACTAGAAAACTGAACAGTTGTGACAAATGGTATTATATGGGACACTTTTTCTTTTCGTTTATGTGTATGAGTGTATTGCCTGTGTGCAAGTCACCTGTGTTGTGCAAGGCCTGCTCAGAAGAGGGTGTCAGATCCCCTGGAACTTGAGTTGTGGATGGTTGTTAGTCACTATGTGGGTGCTGGGATTTGAACCTGGGTCCTCTGCAAGAGCAGTCAGTGCCCTTAACTCCTGAGCCATCTCTCTAGCCCTAGCATACTTGTTTACTTTAAGCAGTATTAGTATTTAGTCTTTTAGAAGCCAGGTGACTTTTTTCTTTAATCTATCAAGACTTGTCAGCAGATGTCCTTGTCTCCTTTCCCTTTTGGTTGGTGTTAGGGATTGAACACAGGGCCTTGTGCATGTTGGTTTGTTTTTTTTTAGTCTTTTTTGAGACAGGGTCTCCTTGTAGCCCCAGCTGTCCTAGAACTCACTATGTAGACCAGGCTGACCTTGAACTCAAAAAGATCCACCTGCCTTTGCCTCCCAAGTGGTGCATGTTAGATTTTAGCATCTGTTCTGAATCTGCTAGTACAGGCCTGGCTCCCTGGGAGGCTGAGGCAGGAGGGTCATGAGCTCAAGGCTGCTTTAGGCAACTTAGATCCTATCTCCAAAAGTAAAAAGTGAGCTATGGATATATCTCAGTGATAATAGAATGCTTACATAGTATGCGTAAGACTTTAGGTTCAATTTCTAGTACTTGAAAAAAGTTTTTTTTTTTTGAACCTTTACCTCCAACTCCATTGTTCTTATTTTTGTAGAGGATAGAAGTTGAAAAAAATACTGATTTCTTTGGATTGACTTAAAAAAAAAATGTGTAACTAGAAAGTTAAGTTTGGTATTATTATTAAATACCTTGTAAAAGAATTTACCTAGATGTAATGTCATCATATTTACAGTGGCAATTGAAATAAATTTTCTCTTAAGGGCGGCTTTTTTTTTGTTTGTTTTTCAGGCTTCATGGTGTATTAGATAAACTTCGCTCTGTTACAACTGGTAAGATTTGTAAAATTGAGCGCTTCTTGGAATTCGTGCTTGTTACAGCATATGATCTTTATATTCCAAAGTCATTTATGCTGCTTTGGGGAAAACAGTAACTTTAAAGATAGTGTTTTATTTGAACTGCAAGAGCAATAAATGTAATATAATTTGACAGCAATGGGCAAGGAAGTGTAATTTATCTAAAGGAAGTAATTACAGATTTAGCCTTAAAGATACCTCATTTTATAATTGAAAGTTACATGCTCAGTAACAATAAATTGAATGAATTATTACTGTGTATAGAATAGTATTCAGCTACTTGGGGACCAGATAAAAATACGTAATATATATCTTAGTATTTAGAACTTGTATATGGATACTCTTTCCAGAAAAGAAAAAATCAGCTTTGCTGAAGTGCTCCTTTAGGAAACCTATACCCACATTCTCAGACGTGTCTTGGCTTTTTTATACCTTTTATCCTAGTGCTTAAAATCTACATTAAAATCTCAATAAACTCATTTCTGTTTATTTTTTTTTTAATCACCTTTGAAGAGCCAGAGATGTAGCTCAGTTGATAGAGTGCTTGTCTGGATGCAGGAAGTCCCGAGTTCGTGGTCTATAGAGCACCATATAAACCAGGCATGGTGGTACACGTCTTGTAATCCTAGCTCTTGGGATGTGGAGACAGGAGAATCAGATATTCAGGGTCATCCTTGGCTACATATGAAGTTTGAGGCCAGCCTGGGTAACACTTTCCTATAGTAAATACATTGCTTTTGAATTGATGATGAGAGAGGAAAGGATTAAAGTTAGAAAAAAGATTATGAGGCTAGTGTATTTTTCTTTTCAGAACCCTCTAGTCTCAAGTCTTCTGATACCAGCATCTTTGATAGTAACGTGCCTTCAAACAAGAGCAGTTTTAGTCGGGGAGATGAGCGAAGGCATGAAGCCGCAGTCCCGCCCCTTGCCATTTCTGGTACTAGACCTGAGAAAAGAGATTCTAGAGTTTCTACAAGTTCACAGGAGCAGAAATCTACTAATGTCAGGTAAAAGTCCTGCATTGTTTATGGCCAGGTGTATGTGTCTATGTATGTAACTTGTTTGGATTAGTTTTTATATCCTTCAGTTCCTGTTTGTAACTATTTGGAAATAGTAATCACATACTAGTTTTCTTGTTGCTTATTGCTGTTACAAAGTATCCAGTGAGACAGGGTTCAGAACTGAAGGTTCTTTTGGCTCTGCCTTGAGAGGGATGGATCTCAGTTCATCCTGGCAGTAGAAGCAAGGTAGTTGATGGTAGGAGGTACATGTGGAAAACCCTCCTTCCTCCCCATTTGTAGTAGACCAGGAAGCAGAGAGAACTAAGCTAGAACCTGGGCTGATATTACTGTCAAGTGTTCTACTTGGCCAGCCAAAAGCTCCATAGCTTTGAGAATAGTGTGATGTACTGGGGAGCTAGTGTTACAACACATGAGCCTTTAAGACTACATTCCAGGTTTAAGCCCTAACAGTCATGAGCAACTGTTAGAATGAATGATGACCAGAATGTGATTTTTTTTTTTCAATCTTAAATGTAGTAAATGAAAGTTTAAAAGAGCAAATATAATTTGAAAGTAGTTTTGAACATATAAAGGAAATACCTAGTCTGGGCATGGTGGCACATGCCTTTAATCCCAGCACTCAAGGCAGAGGCAGACAGAGCTCTGAGTTCAAGGCCAGCCTGGTCTACATAATGAGTTCCAGGCCAGCTGGGGCTACTGGGAGACCCTGGCTCAAAAAGACCAATAAAATACAATACAATAAAATCAAAACGAAGTACCTATATTTTTTCATTGAAATTTTTAAAATAAACTTTACTTTTTACTTTGCTTCACTTTTGTTGTAATTTTTTTTGTTGGTTTTAATAGACAGACTTATGATGATGGAGCTTCAACCCGACTAATGTCAACAGTGAAACCTCTGAGGGAGCCAGCACCCTCTGAAGATGTGATTGATATTAAACCAGAGCCAGATGATCTCATTGATGAGGACCTCAATTTCGTGCAGGAGAATCCTTTATCTCAGAAAAAACCTACAGTGACACTTACATATGGTTCCTCTCGCCCTTCCCTTGAAATTTATCGACCACCTGCAAGTAGAAATGCAGACCCTGGCACTCATTTAAACAGGTTGCAATTTCAACAGCAGCAAAATAGTGTTCATGCTGCCAAGCAACTTGATCTTCAGAATAGCCAGGTATATGAAACAGGACATTTGTGTGAACCAGAAGTGCTTTCCAGCTTAGAAGAAGCTTACAGTCCCTTCTTCAGAAACAACTTGGAAAAAATGAATATTGAGGTTTGTATGGTTTTAGGTTCTGGCTTAAAGGCTAGAGATTGACAGTTCTTGATTCAGATATAGTGTTAAGTAACTAAACATATTGCATGTTTATTTTAAGCTAAATCTCTACTATGACTGGCTCCTTAGATTTTTATTTCACATAGGTATACCTCTTGGGATTTTGGCATTTAAGTTAACTTTACCCTTCCTTTTCCTTTTTTTTTTTTGATGTATGTGGATATATGTCAATTTTAGATTTTTGCATAGTAATTGCTATTAAGCAACCAAATAACTTTTTTCTTTGATCTACATTTTTAATTTATTTTTTAAAATTATTTTTATTTTATGTGGATGAGTGTATTGCCTGCATGTATGTGAGTGCACCTGTGTTGTGCAATGCTGTGGAGGTCAGAAGAGGGCTTTGGATTCCCCTGGAACTGGAGTTAAGGACGGTTCGTAGCCGCCATGTGGATGCTGGGAATCGAATCGAGCCTGGGTCCTCTGCAAGAGCAGTCAGTGCTCTTAACCGCAGAGCCGTCTCTCCAGCCCCGATCTGCATTTATTTTATGCTCAATTTATTTCCATGCCATAAGTTGTTGTTTCTTCAGTTTCTTCTGAGGTATCTTTTTCTTTTGTGCAACTTCCTCTTCAGGCTTAGGAACAGTTTGTTCCTTTGCAGTGAGGATCATTTTGACATGGCAGGGGGAGCTCATGTATGGGCTAATCCGACCATGAGCTCTGCAAGTTCTGTGGTGCATCTTGGGTGATTTGTTCCCCTGGATATGCTCAGTGGCCAGAGAGTCTACAAGTTCAGCATTATTCTCTGCATTTTTAAGCATGTGCAGCAAAAATTCAGCACTCTTTGGGCTACCGACCTTGTACCCTTGGCCTGGGCACACCTACCAACTCTACAGTTAATACCGCCGGAATGGCACATACTGCTTCTTTAAAGTGAGGTTTTTCAGATACTTGGTGGCTTTTTGGATATACATACCCTTGATGACCTGGGCAATTTTAAGTGTGTTCTTAAAGTGAACAGGAGGATTGGAACCTCTTGATTTGCTTGATTTTGTAGGGTTTTCTGGGTCAAGAGAGTAACGAACCATTTTCACATGTCACCTCAGGCTGCTTACAGGAATAGCCCAAATAAGAAATTCTGGGAGAATTCATGAGAACTCCCCAAAATGCAATCTGTTATTCTTTGGTTTTCTTGAGATAATGTCTCACGTAGCCTATTCTGACCTTCAACTCAGTGTGTCCAATGATGACCTTGGACCCCTGATCCCTCTGCTTTCTATCTCCTGAGTGCTGGGAATATATGTATGTGCCACTATGTCAGGCTTATTCTTTTCTTTAGTTTTTTTTAAACCGCCATGTGGGTGCTGGGAATTGAACCTGGGTCCTGTGCAAGAGCAGTCAGTGCTCTTAACCACTGAGTCATCTCTCCGGCCCCTTTGAAATGTTTTTACTACATTTTTATATATTGATGTGTGTGTGTGTGTGTGTTTGTGTGTGTGTGTGTGTGTGTGTGTGTGTGTGTATGTACACGTGCATGCACCTGTGTGTGCATGTACCCCTGTGTTTGTGTCTGATGCCCATAGAAGTTAGAGGAGGGCATTGGACTGCCTGGAACTGGAGTTATAGATGGTTGTTAGCCACCATGTGAGTGCTGGGAATCAAACCTGCATCCTCTGCAAGAACCGCTGAGCCATCTCTCCAGCCCCAAGAACTGAGCTGCTTAAACAGTAGGTCAGAACCCATATGCAGTTGTAAAATTAAATGTGGGGATAGCAAAAATTTGGCAACAGTAAAAGGATTATAATGTGCAATGGTCAAAATTTAGTTTAAAAATGAACCTGAGGTGTTTCTTTTATAAAGCGCCTTACATAAAATGAAGTTTTATTATTTCTCTACCACCATTCCTTAGCATGTAAGTATCAAATCATTTTTACCTTTGGATTGTATTACATTAGAATGTCTGATTTTTAAAATTGCTGCTTAAGCTGTTTACTTGAATTTCATTAAAAAAAACATCATTAAGGGTCAGGTATAGTATGCACGCCTTTAATCCCAGCACTTGAGAGGCAGAGGCAGGTATCTCCGTGAGTTTGAGGACAGCTTGGTCTACATATCTAGTTCCAGGTCCTCAGAGGCTACATAATGAGACCCTGTCTTTTTTTTTCTTTTTTTTAATTTGTTATTTTTATTTTATGTGTATGCGTGTATTGCCTGAATGTAGGTAAATGCACCCGTGTAGTGCAATGCCCGAGGAGGTCAGAAGAGGCTGTCGGATCCCCTGGGACTGGAGTTACGGACAGTTGTTAGCTGCCATGTGGGTGCTGGTATTCGAACCCGGGTCTTCCACAAGAACAACCAGTGTTCTTAACCACTGAGCCATCTCTACAGCCCCGAGACCCCGTCTTAAAAAATAAAATGAAAAGAAAACTCAGGGGCTGGAGAGTTGGCTCAGCAGTTAAGAGCACGGTTGCTCTTGCAGAAGTCCCAAGCCCCACTGTCTGGCCTGGGCACACCTACCAACTCCACTGTTTAACACCGGAATGGCACACACTGCTCTTTAAAGTGACATCTTTCAGATACTTGGTGGGTTTTCGGATATGCATACCCTTGATGGCCTGGGCAGTTTCACGTGTGTTCTTAAAGTGAACAGGAGGATTGGAACCTCTTGATTTGCTTGATTTTGTAGGGTTTTCTGGGTCAAGAGAGTAACGAACCATTTTCACATGTCACCTCAGGCTGCTTACAGGAATAGCCCAAATAACTTTTTAATAGTTGCCCTCATGGTGCTGTGTGCAACTGTTTATAAAATGCATGTAAAGCTCTTATTTTAACTTCAGGTTGCCTATTTGAGGCAATAGTTAAATTTATAAGAAGCCAGAAGTACTCTATGAGTTCTTCATATTGTCTTAAAATGAAAACAGAAATATTTTATGGTAGAACTTTGTTTTTTATACAAAGGTAACCTTAAATTTATCTGATTGCAGGATGAGAACTTTCGGAAGAGAAAGTTACCTGTGGTAAGTTCAGTCGTTAAAGTTAAAAAATTCAGTCATGATGGAGAAGAGGAGGAAGAGGAGGATGATTATGGCTCCCGGGTAGGAAGCGTGTCCAGCAGCGTGTCTGTGCCAGCAAAGCCTGAGAGGAGGTACCAGACCACAGCTGTAATTTAATCTTTTAACTGCTTGATGGTGGCTTTGGGGCCTTTGTTCATTTATTTGTTTGGCAGTGCTAAGGAACAACCCCTGGGACTTAGGCATGCTAATGCTACATGGGTGCCCTAGCAGTGAGCTACACTCCTGGCCTCACTTGGAAAGGTTTTTTTAAAAAATATATACATTTTATTTATTATTATTTTTAAAAATATTATTTTTATGTGTATGACTGTATTGCCTGCATGTATGTAAGTGCACCTGTGTTGTGCGATGCCCATAGAAGTTAGAGGAGGGCATTGGACTGCCTGGAACTGGAGTTATAGATGGTTGTTAGCCACCATGTGAGTGCTGGGAACTGAACTTGGGTCCTCTGTAAAAGCAGCCAGTGCTCTTAACCACTGAGCCATCTCTCTAGCCCCTTCTCTTGACGTTTTAAAGGATAATCATAAAAATATTTTAGTAATCACATGTAAGGCATTTCTGTTGTTTTTGAGAAACATTAATGAAAGACTTGCTTAAAATTGGAGAAAATTGCAAAGACTACTGGAAGTGAATTTAATGAGGGAGAAAAATGTTAATACAGTCATTATTTTAAAAAACTAGTAAGACTTTAATCTAGTTGACATTTTCTAAGAACTACAACTGCTAAGTTTAAAGCAGAAGACTGTAGTAAAGACAGAATAGATCGTTAGCATCTAAAGAACTAAAATTTAGAATGGTACAAAAATAACTTTTCTTAAACTCTTTTAGACCTTCTCTTCCGCCTTCTAAACAAGCTAACAAGAATCTCATTTTGAAGGCGATATCTGAAGCTCAAGAATCTGTAACAAAAACAACTAACTATTCTGCAGGTAATTTAAATATAGTATGTTTATACTGATAAGAGAGTACTAAGCTGAAAATGCTTGCTTGCTGAGTTGTGGGAAAATAAAGGTTACTGCTAGATGTCAAGACCAAGATGAGGTTCCTCTAGATTGGTGGTTTTTTTTAGTTTTTAAAAAATACTATTTTTCTTTTATGTATATGAGTGTATTGCCTGCATGTATGTGAGTGCACCCGTGTCATGCAATGCTGCTGCGGTCAGAAGAGGGCTTCGGATTCCCCTGGAACTGGAGTTAAGGACAGTTCATAGCTGCCATGTGGGTGCTGGGAATAGAACCTGGGTCCTCTGCAAGAGCAGTCAGTGCTCTTAACTGCTGAGCCATCTCTTCAACCCCACCTCTAGATTGGTTTTCAAAGATTTCACCAGTTTGAGAAATTGTCAAGGGAGTTCTTTGGACCCTGTAAACTGCCTTTTATTCCTTTTTCTAATATGCATAAACTAGACAATAACTACCGATTGTAAAGAGAGTTTTGACAGCAATGAGACTTTCATATTAATGTTATTAAATGCAGCATAAATATGTATTTATCTTGTATAAAAGGAGCAAAATTGGATAATAAGTTGAAGTTTAGAGAATTAAAATTTTTTTTTGCCATATTGGTGATTTGAACTTGTCCCTTGTGCTTGCTTGAGAAGTATGCCCCCAGCCCCAAGAAAGAAACAATTTAAAACTACTATATACATAGGCTAGTCTCTTTTCCTTTTGTGGAACCTGAAGATAGAATATAAGACAGAGAGAATTGACTCACTTGTTATGTTCCTACCTTAGTTATAGTAGGAGCACTAAATTATTTTATGACAGAATATTAAGGTATTACATGTTTTTATAACAAAACTTCTTACAGAAAGCTCATTCTAAAATACAAATGTAGATGCTTTTTTTGTGTTACTAAATTCCATACTCTTTTTTTTCATATACTGGGGCTAGTGTAAAGTTTTGTGGTAATGACCTGGTGGTAATTACAAATTCTCAAGTTATTTTCAAATTTCCTGTGCATTTGATGACTGTTCTTACAGCATTGCTGTTTGTGTATTCTCTCTGTCTCTTTGGAATCTTTCTGAAGTAAACTGTTAGCCATCGATTTTTGGTGTTCATCTACCTGCTATTCCTCATCCGTAATTTAACCTTGAACAAATAGGAAATTAAATATTTTGGTATTTAGAATAAAGATTTGTAGATAAATGCCAACTCGCAGCAGTTTATTCATTTCATTCACTTTTCTGGTATATCTACAATATTGCTTAGAATATTTAGAAAATTTCAGGGCTGGAGCAATAGCTCTGTGGATAAAACTATTGGCTACTCTTGCAGAGGATCCATGTTAGGTTCTCAGCACCCGCATGGTAGACCATCCATAACCCTAGTTCTGGAGAATCTGACACCCTCTTCTGGTCATGCGGGCATTGCGTCCATGGGTTCATAATATGCAGGCAAAACACTCATACACTTAAGTTTTTTAAAGGATATTTAGAAAATTTCCATGGCCTTGAAATACTTTTAAAATAGTTGGGGATCCCCAGATTTTAAGAAATAGCATTGAGGGGCTGGACCTGACCTCTGTGGGCGTTGTGTGACACAGGTGCACTTACACACTTGCAGGCATTACACTCATACAAATAAAAGTAATAAATTTTTTTTTAATTAAAAAAAAAACAAAACATTTTTTAAAAATTAGGGGCTGGAGAGATGACTCAGTGGTTAAGAGCATTTACTGCCCTTGCAGAGGACCCGGGTTCAGTTCCCAGCACCCACATGGCAGCTGACAACCATCTGTGACTCCAGTTCCAGGGGATCAAACACCCTCTTTTTGGCCTCTTTGGGCACTGCATGCACATGTGCACTTACATACAGGCATACATACTCATACACACAAAATAAAAATAATATTTTTTTAAAAAGTAACACAAGTAAAAGAAAAAATGTTTCAAGGCTATTTCTTTCCTCTTTTATTTTTTTGGTAACTTTGAGATTTGGTCTCAAACAAACTATATAGTCAAAGAGAACCTTGAGTTCCTAATCTACCTCTATTCCCAAGTCCCAGGATAACAAGTGTGTACTGCTATACCCGGGTTCAATGCTTTATTAATTCATAATATTTTATTTGGTATTTTTATTTTATGTGTATTTGTGTATTGCCTGCATGTGGGTAAGTGCCCCTGTGTTGTGCAATGCCCGTGGAGTTTAGAAGAGGCTGTCGTATCCCCTGGGACTAGTTGTTAGCTGCCATGTGGGTGCTGGGATTTGAACCTGGGTCTTCTGCAAGAACAACCAGTGTTCTTAACCACTGAGCCATCTCTCCAGCCCCTTATTATTTTTTATTTTATATATATGAGTGTATTGCCTGCATGTACGTGAGTGCACCCATGTGGTGCAGTGCCGTGGAGGTCAGAAGAGGCTGTCGTATCCCTTGGAACTGGAGTTAAGGACGGTTTGTAGCCGCCATGTGGGTGCTGGGAATCGAACCCAGGTCCTCTGCAAGAGCAGTCAGTGCTCTTAACCACTGAGCCATCTCTCCAACCCCTCAATCCTTTAAAAGAAAAAAAAAAATTGTTTTTATTTTATGTGTACAAACGTATTGCCTCCATGTATGTAAGTGACCTGTATTGTGCACTGCCTTGTGGGGGTCAGAAGAGGGCGTCAGAGCCCCTAGAACTGGAGTTGTGGATGGTTAATAGCTGCCATGTGGGTGCTGGGAATTGAACCTCAGTCCTCTGCAGGAGCAGCCAGTGCTATCTGAGCTATCTCTCTAGCCCCTAACTTTTTAAAAATTTTATTTATTTTTATTTTATGTGTGTAAATATACTGCCTGCAAGTGTATAAGTGCACCTCTGTCATTCAGCGCCTGTAGAGGTCAGAAGAGGGTTTTGGATTCCCCTGTAACTAGAGTTAGGGATGGTTGTTAGCCCCCATGTGGGTGCTGAAAATCAAACCTGGGACTTCTTCAAGAGCAGCCAGTGCTCTTAACTTCTGAGCCGTCTCTCCAGCCCTCCCCTCCCTTTTTTTAAAGACGGGATCTTTAAAGAAAAAGACAGGTCACTGTGTAGTTCTAACTGTTCTAGAACTCATTATGTAGACCAGGCTGGCCTCTAGCTCACAGCGATCTGCCTGCCTCTGCCTGCTCTGCCTTGCAAGTGCTGGAATTAAATTTGTGTGCCACCATACCCAGCCTAAAGTATTACCTATGGATTGTTTTGAACACGTTAAATAGCCATTTTTAAAAAATTCATTTATTTTTATTTTATTAGTGTAATGCCTGCATGTATGTAAGTGCACTCGTGCCGTGTAATGCAGCAGAGGTCAGATGAGGGTGTCAAATCCCCTGGAACTGGAGTTATGGACAGTTGTTAGCTGCCATGTGGGTGCTGGGAACCAAACTCGGGTCCTCTCTGAGATGGCTCAACGGTTAAAAACACTGGTTGTTCACCGGGCGTGGTGGCGCACGCCTTTAGTCCCAGCACTCAGGAGGTGGAGGCAGGCTGATCTCTGTGTGTTCAAGGCCAGCTTGGTCTACATAGTGAGTTCAGGTCTGCTGGGACTACAGGGAGACCCTGTCTCAAAAAGACAAAAAAAAGATACTGGTTGTTCTTGCAGAAGACCCGGTTCGAATCCCAGCACCCACATGGCAGCTAACAACTGTCCGTAACTCCAGTCTCAGGGATCCAGTGGCCTCTTTTGTCCTCCGCGGGCATTGCATGGACACGGGTACACTTACTTATATGCAGGCAATACACATGTACACATAAAATACAAATAATTTTTTTTAATGTTAAAAATAATAAAAAATTTTTTTAGAAAGTTAATAATTAAAAAAAAAAAGCCATGCTCTTAACCACTGAGCCATTTCTCCAGCCCCACACCTTAAATATTCTTAACCCAAGGATAAATTTGTGTTTAATACAATGTTAACCATGTAGTTTTGAAGTATTAGCCATGATTGTATTTTCATCTCTTCTGCTTTTATGTAAAAGTTCCACAGAAACAGACACTTCCAGTTGCTCCCAGAACACGAACCTCTCAAGAAGAGTTGCTAGCAGAAATGGTGCAGGGGCAAAGCAGGACCCCCAGAATAAGTCCCCCCATTAAAGAAGAGGAAGCAAAGGGAGATAATACCGAAAAAATTCAAGGTAAGAATTTAAATATTTCACTTTTACTCTTTTTTCATGGACACTACATATTTTCAAATATATTTTTAAGAACTGTTAGCTATACTGTGATCATAGTTTCAGGAAAGTGATCATAAGGCCACAAAGAATGAGAAAGGGATCTTGTAGAGAATTCATACTTTGAGAAATTTTAGGGGTTTTTTTGGTCGTTTTGAGACAGGGTCTCCCTGTAGCCCCAGCTGTCCTGGAACTCACTATGTAGACCAGGCTGGCCTTGAACTCACAGAGATCCACCTGCCTCTGCCTCCCGAGTGCTGGGATTAAAGGCATGGTGCCACCACGTCTGGCAAGAAATTTAGTTTTTTATAATAAAAAAACTTAATGTTCTCAAAAGTGAAGAGATGTCAGTGACTTTCTTGATTGTGTCACCCAGCCTTAATTATAGGTCTTTGCTCATGCTTACAGTGTTCTTACTTAAAGATACATTTATCCCCCCCCCCCTTTTTTTTTTTTTAACGTACTGTGTGGGTATGTATATGTGCACATAGGGTCTGATTACAACTTGGGAGTTTTGTTTCTTTCGTACCATATGGGTTCCAGGAATTGAACTCTGGTTGTCAGGTTTGACACTAAATGCTTTTACCCATTGAGTCATCTCACCAGCCTTTCTTTCCATCTTTTTGTTGTCCCACCTTTATTTTTCCAACCTAAATCTGAAGTTTTCCCTCCTAGCATTGTGCCTCAGTGTCCTGTCATGTCTGTCCCAGTGATCCTACTTAAACCTCTATACCTAACACACTCAACACAGTGGCTTCCAGCAAAGTGTTCTACAACTCCTGTATTTTAAATTATTACTAGTAATATTATTATTATTTTGGTCTTTTTGATACAGGCTCTCCCTGTACCCTTAGCTGGCCTGGAACCAGGCTTACTTTTGAACTCGTGAAGATTCGCCTGCCTCTACCTCCCAACTGCTGGGATTGAAGGCGTGTGCTACCGTGCCCAACTTTATTATTTTTGCTACCCACCTCTTCTCCCTACTTCAATTTCTCCATACCAAAGTACAACTCTTCATCATGTGACTTTGTGAGAGTATCACATCCCCTGTCCCATCCTTATTGCCCAAGACTAGTGCCTGCAGTTGAGATTTGAGGCAGCTTTGTTAGCTGGCCTTTGGGTTTGCTTCCTCCTTCTCTGCTTCTCCCAAACTTGTTCTTTCTGTTGGTATCAAGAAGGACTGGAGTGTTTTTTTCTCTATGCTATTCATTTTATTTTTAATTTTGCTTTTCTCTTAACTTTAGAATATGTTTTCATTTTTTGTTTCTATGCATTATTTACCTCCTTATTCTCTATCCGACTGTCCCCCAACTGGGGATTAAAATCTTGGGCCTGTTGCATGCTTGACAAGTCTACAACAGTGAGCTACATCCCTAGCCCAACTTTCTTTTTTTTGGTATTTTTGAGACATGGTCTCCATGTAACCTCAGCTGGCCTGAAACTCACTATATAGACCAGGTTGGCTTTGAACTCACAGTGATCTGCCTGCCTCTGCCTCCCCAGTCCTGGTATTAAAGGCGTGTACTACCATGCCTGACTTTCAACTTTCATTTTAAAAGAAATTTATTTTTCTCTGTACTGTGTAATTTTCTATGTCAGCATCAGAAACTGGTGCACTGGAGAACGAAAAACAACTCTAAATAGCCAATGCAAGGTGCCAGTCTGAAAAGAGAGCCAGCTCTTTACTGGTACAGTATTAGGGAAAGTTGGAGCTTCTAAAGAGCATCTAGTGCTCCTCTCTCCAACTAACTGCACTCATAGCACCTTCAAAGATAGACCCATTGGACTGTATGTGTAGCTTAGAGGGTTAAGGATCAAATCAGGGTCCTGATCCAATCATCAGCATTCCAGAAAGAAAAAGGTGCCATTTTCAGAGTGGGCTAGAAGGCATTAAGCAAACAGAGGTTAGCAGATCATGGTGGCACACAGTAGTCAACCCCATGTTTGGGATGTCAGGCAAGAAAATTGCTGTGAGGCTGAGGACAAGCAGTGCTACATAATGAGATTCTCTTTCAAAAAAAAGAGTGACAAGACAGGCAAAACAACATAACAGAATTGGGAAGGTTTTGATATGAGATAACAAGAATTAGCAATAGAAGCTTATGCTTGACATGGTGACACAAGCCTATAATCCCAGCACTTGGGAGCTGGAGGCAGGATCAGAAGTTCAGTTATCCTCAGTTACAAAACAAGTTTTAGGTTAGCTTGGGATATGTGAGACTGTCATCAAAAATAAAAACAAACAAAACCATTGATTTCATGTCTTAATTAGAAAAAGTTAAAATGATTTTAACATGACTAGATACTCTACTAATGACGGAGCTATGCTAGAGTTACATTGAAAGGATTCTGGAGCCATCTTCTAAGGGGTTCGTTCCTATTGACCAAAGGTAGATGGAATCCATTTGAACTTCAGAAAAGTGACAGTTGATGAACAAGGGGCATTTTCAAATTCAGTTCTAAGTACCCCTTCCAATCTCCCCCCAAACAGAAACTAATTGGTAACCCAAAAGATGAAAGGTAGTGATGCATTGTTTTGAAAACTAAATAAGTAATATAATTCAAGCATTTATATTGTCTTTCCTATATTTAGGAAATTGGTATTGGTAACCAAATAATAGAGGAGTTGGCACTATTTTTGTAAATAAAATTCCACTGGAACCACTTATACCTGTTACCTTTTCATGAATGGGTAGTCTGGCCATTCTTGCACTACATGAGTAGTTACAACAGATTGGATGTTCTTCACTGTCCCCCCTCCCACTATAAAGACAAATAGAAGGAAGCAAACATGGTTGCAAATACAAATGCCTAAAAGATATCCCAGTAGATGTACCATATTCATTAAACAGTATACTTGCAATGGCTTCCCTGCTGGGGTCTATAGCCTTCCCTGACACAGAGGCTTGGCCAGGTCTGCAGCACCAGATGTGTGTTCCACTCCTAGGAATAGCCATTATCCAATTAGAAATTTGTCCGTTGTACATATATTAGTCAAGCCATTATTGCACTAGCAGGCGTTGCTTGGCATGGCCATAGTGTGCAGCACAGGGAATCCATTGTTGAACAGAATCATAGGGGATCCTTTTTCCCCAACCATCTGCTTAGCACTTTCTGGCCCTATGAAAGCCATCCATCCAGTGGCATGGAGTTTTTAGCTTAGTCTTGTCTCCATCTCTTACATCATGCAATGTCTTTAGCAACACGGCCTTACTGACCTTCCTAGTGTACAACCAACAGTAGTGGCAGTAGCCTTGGTTAATTTGAGGACCTCTAGGATATCTCTAACCAACAGCTCATAGGGGGCAACCCACCCCTGGTACTGTAGTTTTTCTTAACGGTTGTAGAGTTTTGGGAGCCTCTGTTTTTTTTTTTGTTTTGTTTTGTTTTTTTTGACCTAACAATATAACTCCCAAGAATCTTATAGCAATAGCTGGCCTTTTTTTCAGGTATCTTTCAAATGGGTTTCATGTCTGTAAAACACTCAAAGGTTAACATCATATATTAAATCAATCATAGACAAGGTCTGACATAGCATGGAAAGATTTTATCCATTTCTATTAATTGCTTTCTCTATAGATCTCTGTTAGGTACCATAGCATGGGTAAGAGGCATTAATTTGGCTAGTTCTTTATTATCTTTAGTTATCCCTTTGGAGTCATTCTGCATTTTGGGGCTTTTACATGGAGTCTCTTTGTATTTTCTTATCCTTGATACATTTGTAGGTGCTGGCTCAAGTTGTCTGATCTTGCACAGGGGCTAAGGAGGCAGAGGGTCTCTCTTGTCTCTGCTGTACCTGTTGGTTCCCTGAGTCAGGCAGCCCTGGGCCTGCCTCCTGGCTGTAGCCATATCTGCCACCTTTCCATCGACCATACCTGGCTGCTGAGAGAGGCCCCGGTGGGAAAAACTGCCTCCACTCCTAGTATAGCCTTTCTCAAGAGAGAACTGTACTTTACTTAACCTTTGGGGATCCTTAAACACCCCTGGGACAGTTTTTATCCTCTGAATGCCTTTTGTGAACTGTAAAGCCTTCCAGAAACTCCTTAGTACTGAATTTGGTTTTCTATCAATTTTTTCTTTGGGAATTTGGGCTTGACATAAATCTTGCCACACTTGTCTTCGAGTAACCCAAGTGGACCATTTCTTCTGTGTCTCTTGTAGGTTGCTCTATTCTTCAGACACATTTTACATGCTGGTTTGAGTCACTTAGATCTGCCAAAGCCTCCCTCACTTTACAAAGATCCTGTCCCATTAAAGGATTGATTAAAACCGTTAAAGCTCTATACCATTCTCAAGATCCCAGTTGAATTAAGCTTTCCTTTATATCTCTGGTAAACACAGCCCTATCTGGCCCAGCAAACTGGGCATTATATATTGCTTTTCTCATACCTAGTTCTCTCAGTAACGCCTGTCCCTCTTTTTATAGTCCTCCATTGGTGATCATCATGTATCTTTAATACCTTGTACAAGCCATTCCATTAGGGACTGTTCCCTCCTGTATTGGCCTAGGTTGAACAGCCTATGTCTCAAGGATGGATGGGTGGTTATATAACTCATCTCTGAAACTTCTAAAGGACTTACACTGAGATTATTTGCTACCATGTCCTATACCTTCATGAGCCATGTGGTGAGGGGCTCTTGGATTGCTTGTTTGAAGGTTTTTCCTAGTTTCAACAGCTCCAGTGTGGAGTATTTTCACCTAGCTACAGTACTGTTAGCTCTTTTTCCTTTTTGTATCAAAGGTTGTTGAATCTGAGGAGTAGCTGTAGCTACTGTTATTTTTAGGTTGTTTCTATTCTCGTTACTATCTGTCTTTTTCCTTGGGTCCTTTGACTGCTGGTCTCCTACCCTTACACAAGTTAAAATCGTGTTTTTTTCTCTTTCTCAAGCTCTGAGGCTGAGACTGAATTTGCCAGTAACTCCTTAACCTTTTCAGCCTCCCCTGAGGCCTTTGCCTTGGCAGT